TGTAGCGTCCTCTTAAGTATCATTCAATAAATTAATTGCTAGAGCAGCATATTATACAGCCACACTAGTTAGATTTTTAATGACTTATAAAAACACTTTAAATTAAGAGTTAAAAGAGGTAAAAACTTAACATCAAATGCTTCAAATATTAAATCAGTAATTCATGTGAACGCAATAATAACCYTACTAAAGCCAACTGTGAAAAAGATGGGTACTTCTGAGATTTTGGCTTTATTAAAATGCACAAAAACTTAAAAACTATTACACTCAGTGGCATATCAAAAGGGATACGAGGGTTCTACCCCTCCCCCCCCAACAAAGTTAAATTGTAAAAACATTTTCATTAATAAATTATTTACAGATACATTTTTCAAAATTTATTTCTGCATCCCCCCCGAAAAAATTTCTATATGTGCCACTACTGATTATTTATTTATTCAAATATATGGACTAGATTCACTAGATAGATCATTTAAATTATATATGAGTAAAATAAATAGATAATATTGATGATTATTATAGTTCAACAAATATTGAGTATATTTTAATGAAAGATTAAACTGAAAATAGTGTAGCTAATGTAACAGATTGAGTTTGTAGACAAATGGATCATTATAAACCTTCATGAGCATGATTTGAGGGGGGGGGTTTCAAGGTTAGGATCAATAAGGTGTTTTATTACTAAAGTATCTATTAATTTATTTACCAAGTATAAATACCATTGGTAACCACAAAATAACTATAAATATGTACATTAAAAGTAAAAATAGTTAGACTAAAATAGTAATAATAGTGATATTTTCAACATTATATATATATGTACATATATATTATATACATGATGTTATATAATAAACTATACTGAATATTCACTGGATAAACAAAATAACCACTTTATCATCCTAAGTGATTCCCTAAGCTCAATCCCAAGTATTGCTAACTCACACAATCCCAATGACATATCAAAGAAAATACATATTGCCATCTCTGCCTACCATATGCCAAAAGAAATGCAGTCAAATTAATGTGAATTCTAGGCCACTCATTACTAAAGGCAACGAAAAATCTGACACGCTAGCTAAAAAAACAGCATCAACAGCCCCCTMAACGGCAATGTCRAAAACATATCCATTCAAGATGTAAAACGCAAAATAAAACTTATTTTAGCACAATCCTGGCAAAATGTATGGTCCACACAATAAACTTAACTTAATGAAATTAAGAAAACAACCCTACATTGACCACTCAGACCATAAAATATAAACCATCATTAACAGCCTCCGAATTGGTCACACCACTCACCCATGGTTACCTAATGTCCCAAGAGGAACCCCTCACACGCATCTCTTGTGGTGTCAATTTGTCAATCAAACATATAACCGAATGTAACACACACCGCAAARCAAGGGACAGCAACCAACTATCTGAAGATATATTTGAGAGCCTTGGACCTGCTAATCCCCAACATAATTTCATTCCTCAAACAAACTGGATTGGACAAATAATTTAGTCAGAATACTCAACCTTGTTTCTGTTTTTGTTTGTTTGTTTACGATTAGTCAACTGTTAATGTAATAAATAAATAACCTATACAAATATTCTAAAAATTTTAACCCTCCCCCACACACACACACACACAAAAAGTTTTGTAGATTGGTAATGATTTGAAATGGCCTGCAAAAATGTTGACATCACCAACAGTAAAAAGTTGAAATGACGCCTCTGCAACCGTGTATTGTAAAACTGACAATAAAAAATAAGGATATTAACAGAAAATTTAGTCTTAACACATACAATACATATAATATTATATGGATTCTATAGATTACCTAATTCATCCTTTTATCCAAACATCGGAGTTCACTAAACATGTTTTTGCACTCTTTCATTCAAACATTGAAAACTATATAAAGAATGTTATTTAAAAAAAGATTTTTAACAAGTAATAACCCATGTTTGTAAAAGTTATTGACCAAAGTATATCAGTATAATATATTATTATATATTTTGTTTATTATGCTATGACTCGGTACACAATTTTTAAACATCTTGCTATGTGCAGAAGTGGAACTTCTTAGGTTTAAAAAATTTTAAAAAGTAGTTCATGCACGAGTATAATGTTTAATAAAAATGATGTAATATTAGTTTTAAGCACTGCTGTTATAATTTTACATCATTAATTATTGTGGAAAAGTAAAATACAGGTTGTCCCAAAGAGATCTGACAAATGAAATAACTTTTGTTCTAATCAATATTTTTTAAAAATGTCTTTTAAATATAATCCATAGACACTTGCGCTACATTTTTAGAATAAATTTTTTATTTTTCAATACTGAAAATAAAAAACTTAAAAATTGATAATTTTTTTTCTTCGAAATATTCAATATAGCCAATTTGTAAATTTAATTTTCAGAAAAATGTATATGGTAATAACACTTATTTAAGTCAAAAGGCTGATTTTTCACAATTTTTTTAAATATCAATATTTTCGTTAGGTAAATTATAGTAATTTATAGTTTATACATCACATATTATTAAAATAAATACAATAAAAAAAATAGTGTCTATGAATTATATTTAAAAGAAATTTTTTTTAAATATTGATTAGAACAAAAGTTATTTCATTTGTCAGAATGTCAGATCTCTGTGAGACACCCTGTATATACTATGTAGGTAGGTAATATGTTTTGAATTGCAATTTACTAATACTTACTAAAAACATATAWACCCACTTATACTGTTTATTGTATTTGCCAATAGGATTAATACGCTATTGTAGGAATGCACAAGTATGTGAATACTCTATAATTTCTATAATATCGAAAACTTAAGCCCTAACCTAACCAATTACAAAAATATTAAGTATATTATGTAATATTGGATCTTGTATTTTTATAATTGAACTATAAATATCAACTGACAAAAGTTAACAATATAACAAATTCAACAAGTGTCAATTTGCATACTTTATTGTTAAAAATATAAATTCATCGTTAAATTATTCAGAAAAGAGATATATCAATTCTTTAAAATTATTATTTTACAATACATAACCAATTAGCTCATAACTTATTTATAGTAAAAAATTAACACAAAACAGATACAAACAATTAGATAATCTAAATCTTAGTTTTTTGTAGAGCAAAAGGTGCTCGTCTGTTGTGGACGTCTACCGCTCTCAGAGCAAAATGATAAATATATCCTAACTCAAACACTTCTAGTTCACAAGCCATAGGCAACAAATCTGCTTTTATTTCGCCTTTTTTTTTCCACATTGAAGATTTTGGAGGTGCATCYGTCTCTTGGCATACAAACAGTTCATACATTTTGATTTTTGCTGTCTGCCAAGTCAAATGTAAGTCCCATGTTAATGTCACTTTATTTCCTGAAGTTTTGATTGTCATATTAGGTATTGGTGGCACGTTTTTCCATGAAGGTTGATTATTATGAGGTGGGATTGAAGGATAAGGTGGTGGATACTTTAAACTTGAAGACTTGAGGAGAAAATTATGATTATACTTTTCAGGAACTTCTAATTTTTTTGCGGAATTACAATTTAACACATTTTTTGAATTTGACCCTTTGTTATTAATATCATCACACTCGTTTAAACGCTTTTTTTTCTCAACAGTTTCGTTATTTTCAGRAACTATATCATCAACAAACATTGTCTTTGATTTTGGGCCAGGTTTCCGTTTACGAACAGTTGTGGATAAACATTTTCCATTATTTAAAGATTTGCTGGCTTCTGTATTAATTGGCAATACATTATCATTATCATTGATTTTGAGATCCGGTATAGAAACACTTGTTGATTTTGATTTTGGGTCTGGATTAGATTTTACACTCAAGTTTTGGGTATCATCATCTGAATCAATCAAATCAATAACATTTTCATTTTCAGTTTGTGTTTTTGACGTTTCAATTATGATGATAGAGTCATCATCATCACTATCAGATATTGTAAATATTTGAAGTTCATCATTAGAATTCATATGTGCATTGGCCCTAAAAAAATAGTTGAAGTAAWTAAATATTAGCTACTATAGTATAACATGTTTATTTTAGGGTGCATTAAAATATTTGTTTAAACGTATGATAAACCTACCTAATTAATAAGTGAAGTTACATTTAAATCCAGAATGATCAATATAAACATATGATTGCTCAATATTACAATTTATTAAAATTTTAAAAATTGAGAAAGTAGATAACTGTTTATAAAATTATTTTTTGCGTATTATCCTGCATATTTTAATAGAAAACTTGGAAGTTGAAGCAAAAAGCATTAAGAATTGTAAATAAATTAAAGCATCAAAAAGCTTGAAAATTCAAATTTATCACTTGTAGACTCGTTAAACAATTTAAAACAAGTGGAAAATTCTTATCAAAGAACTTTTTACAATCACAAATAGTACAATAATTAAAACAAAATTTTAAAATGTTTTTAATAAAAATAGTGGAATAATGGTTTTTAAAAGAAATTCAAAAATCCTTTGAGATGATATTGGTATTTTCAACGATTTGTCTGTTTCAAATTATGAGGCAGATCTATTAGCCAATTTTCAACAAGTTTTACAAATATATTTATTAAAACCATAAATATATGGCTTAGCTGGGAGAGCTAATTTATATAATATAAATTAATACTAATATATGTTTTTTATACATAATATCTTACATTGGTGTTTTWGTTGAAATGTTTACATATTGAGAAACTGAAGCAGCCATACACCTCTCTGGTTGTGCACGTCTATTGTCTTTTAAATCTCTCTTCAAACGTTGAAGAACAGAATGAAGTAATATTGCTTGTCGCTCCAAATCTTTAAATTTTAATCTCCAACTCTGAACATTTACCAATTCATTAAGGTCAATAATATCCTTCACATCAGTTTCTCTTTTCAAGATAAATTTAGTGATTTCTTTTTCAAGTATATTATTAAAAGTTGATAACGGAAGTTCAATTACACTTCCATCTAATTCGATAGAAATCTTAGGTTCATGTTCTATGTTGGGTTCTTCTGACACAGTGTCATTCATTTTTTTTTCCTACAAATTACAAAAAAAAATAATATTAAATTAGCCAAGAAGAATACTAATGTAGAAAACAAATATGCATAAGTGTGCGCACAGGGGAGGCAGAAGAGGCACCTACCTCYCCTGCAAGATTTTCTGCGTCAACAAGATCTTWTATTACCTTTACCTACCAATTTTTGATAACATTTAAATAATTATATGTATATGTTCAAATGTTCAATATTCATTATTGGTATACTGGTACCTACACTATGGAACATCAATAAAACATATTATATTTACCTATTTTAAAAGTTTTTCAAATTTATAAATTTTTTTTCATTACCTATATATTTTTAATTATTTTTTATTATAATTCCTTGATAAATAAAGATATTATTATTAGAAAGAACTTATTAAAAACTTTTTTGATAATTTTATGTTTAATCCAACTCTTAACCGCATAGAACAATATCATGATTTAATAGAACCATATACTTGATTTTGTGTGAGGATTAATTTAAATTATTGTTGCCTCACATCAAGGTCTTAACTGGGAAAAATAGGCRGGGTGGATTGRAGTCTGGATCTAAGGTTTTGCCTCCCCTGCCAAGAAGATCTGCGCATGCTTATGCAAATAAGTAATAYGCTGCATGACAGTTAATAGTACTTAGATGGCTAGATAATGTTAAATGGGTAAATGTAGGTATGTATTTATATTGTGTTCCTGTGATAAAATGTAACCAAACCATACACTATTAAGCAGTGTTGTGTATGCCAACTAGTTAAATGCACACACACACAAATTAAATTAGACTATAAAAAAACAAAGACAATAAGAATCAATTTCGTAATAATAGACCAATGAAGCAAATGAGCTGTGGTAGGTATTTGTAAAAATATATTTAAGAACGTAAGCACCACGGTAACAGGGCAGTCTGTTTGTCTGGTACAAGACTGATGTTAGTGGTGTTTCATTTAGGAATCATTTTCTGTGTTYTTATTGAATAAATCATGTTTTTACACGAATAATAAATAGACATTCTAATAGTTTAAATTGTTAATTGTAATTTTTATTGAGTGCATTATCCAAAAAAGCAGGTATAGAACACCAGAGTATACAAGTACAAATATGTGTACCAATTTTATAATATTTCTAATTATGTAAGAGATTTAGGGATTTAGTTATCCGAAATATTCTGTAAATACAATTACTCCGCTGTCATAACACACTATTACACTAAATTTAGTTAATTGGTCACAAACATATTAACATTTATATAACATATTAAAATATATTATATTATCTGTAACAATAGTCATTTTCAAAGAGTTACGGGTAGGYTGAGCATATCACAATTCAATGGAAACTATGAGAATCAGAATAATCATGATGCGGCAAGAACCTAATGGCATATAAGTACAGTGACGAGCCGAATGTGATTTTTAGCCATTTTTCCTCGGCCGGGTGAGGTGATTGAAAATATTAGGTACAGAAATATGTGCAATGTGCATCATGGTTAAAAATGTTTACCACGCCACTGCCCAAGTGTAAGGATTGAATAGAATTTTGAGTAGCACTAGTAGCAGTATACAATGCACCATCCAGACAACGTTATAATATGATATTATTTATTTACCTCAAATCTCAATGATTGTTTTGGACCATACGATGACGAAAACCGATGGCCGACAGAGTTGTACCATAGAATACTATTAATAATACATTTAATATTTATTATTAATAATAATTTTTATAATATTATTCTATGGTTGTACCGCACTACCGCAGAATGACTATTATCCGATAACAGTGCATAGAGACGATTTCGACTGCCGCAATATGATAACATTTTATCAACAATTAACATCGTTATCGTGAATTACAGAGGAAATAACAACTTGCTGTGTACATTAAATACATTACGCGCCGCAGTCCGCAGACTAGTCTGTCCCAACTCTCAAGCAACTCATTAAAATTTATCCCTCGCAAGTCGTATTATCACAGAATACATAATATTATTTTATACGTCATATATTTCACATGTTCCGCGGTACTACTCTACGTTGGCGGGCGCCGGGCAGTACTTATTGACAAAATTGTTCTATGGAGGTAGATCGATGATTGGTCATCGAACGACCTTGGTTTTCACTGTTTCGAGATATAATTCCTAGAAGCCGGATTTCGGTTCCGCAGAAAAAAAAAATATGACCAATAAAATAGACCGGTCGAATATAATATGCATTCCAAATTCTATAAAATTATTGTGGAAAATTATCTACGGTTAGCCCGGTTAGGTTTGATAGAATGGTCAAGCGACAACCTGTTCAATCCTAAGATAACATATTCATTGAGTAATAAACTAACATCAACTATAAATTATTATATATATATATATTCATTAAATATTAATTACGTATTTTAAGCATATCATTCAATTTTGGGGTTCAACGAATTTGTTGCAAGATTTGCATAATGAATAAAATATACTCTGTTTGTTAAATAATGATTTTATCAAAATCGCTCAAAACTCCATTAGTAAAATTCAAAAATTTTAAATACTTGATTTTCTCTAAAATCATATTTTTTAGTTTTAAATATCAACTTTTTATAATAAATCCAAAAAATAGTTTTAATGTGCATATCGCTACACAGAATAATAATAATAATCAGCCGTTTTGATGCTTCTGGTAGATAACGCCCAGATTAAATGTCGTCAAATATAGACTAAAAAATCTTTTAATCAAAGAAATCACACCATATTATCAATATAGTGCTATACTTACAGCATTTCCATAACGAAAAAATAAGAAGGGCTACTTTTTCAATTGAATTTTTTATTATTTACCATTATCAAATCATCGACCAAGGTTACTATCAGGTGTATGTAATTTACTGAAAGCATATATTTATAACACCTCATATCATTTTATTACACATAAATATTATTTAACTAATAAATAGTCAAACATAAATTCAACAAGTAATCTCTTGTCTTTTATATTGATCAAAACCGACAACAAATATATTTTCATCTTTGATCATTAGATTTTACTTCTTATTTTATTTACAAAGGGTTTAGAAAACAAAAACAAAATATTTTTTAGTTTGGTTTATAATAAAACAATACATACGCTATCAACAAATTACAATAAGTGTTATGTAGGCAAGGTATTTCTTTATTGCCAAAAAAAGTAATCCAAGAAGTTGATTCAATCAATTACATTTTACTACTTTTAATGTATCTGCATTAAAAATCTAATGCATACCATATATTTTTACAGTATAATTTAAAAATTATAATATTGATATTTACATTGCATGTGATTTGTTTTAATATATCAATTAGGATAATATTCAACACTTTCATGTATGTTTTATGTTCTGATTTACATATTTCTACTAAAAATGTACAATATTATGTTATAATAGTTTTATAACGAAAGTGTAATCTAAATACACAAAACAATAAATAACAATAATTATAATGTTGTACTTAGCTTTGGGATTTTGATTTTTGAATTTTATATAAATACATCTTAGTTACAATAAAATATATGAGCTAAAAATGTCTGATAAAATAACAAATATAGGTGATTTAATGATTCCATTACAATTTATTTAGAACTATTCCAAAAAAATTGCAACTTATTTTTTTGTAGTAATCGTATGTTGTTTTAAATATATGGACAAAACTAAGTTAGCAAAAATAAAATATAATTTAAGACTTATACTAAAAACAAAAAAAAGGAAAGGAAAAACAACCGAGCACAAAAAAAAAAATAAGTGCAAATACAATACATCAATAATAATATTAAATTATTAAAAATACTCCAAATGAAAAGTTAATAAAATTGATCTTGAGATTTTACGTTAATATTATGATGGAGTATAAAGGTACTTAATGATATAAATACATTATTATTTAAACTAGTTACTCGGTATAGTTTTTTTTCTATAAAAAAAATTTCATTTGTTTTTCATATTACATAACATTTAATTTTTAAAATTATACTTTGTTGTTGCATACCTAGATATAGAAATATATATTGCATCAAGAAGGGTTATTTTTTATTTTTTCCTTGTTTACCAGATCCTCTGGGTGGTGTTACTGGTCTGCCTGATGACAATCCTCCATACATGTACTTTCGTTTGTCAGCCGGCTGGAATAAATATTTAGTTTAAAAAATCAATTACAATATTACGCATATAGTTTAAACTCGCATATAAATTAATGTACAATTATTATTTCAATACTCTTTTACATGTTAAAGTTAGTAATTATTTAGTTTTTAATTAACATGTTAAATGGAGGGTAAAAAAAAGTAATTTGCATAACTGTGTCAAGATCTCGAGATTGGTAACAAGGAGTACCAACATACATGAGCAGCAAATTTAGCTTTTGCCATTTTATCTGTGGACTGATTAACCTCATTGCTACTGGCGAAACTACTTGTCATACTCTATAGTTTAACTAGAAAGGTAAAGCTCAATTCAATTAGCACAGAGATTAATTTTTAAGTCAGTTAACTAAAAAATAGAATTGCCTAATTTTTTAGTTCCTCTGTACCAGTGAAATAATCCTGAGAACCACATCTATGAATTAATAATATATGCAGTTCATTTTAGATAACACCCCTGTGCAGAGTATACATAATTAATATTTTTAACACAATAATATATATAAACTGCTGAACTACAAATGCTTAAGCCACCAGGCCAATAATCAACATCACAATAAACAGTAAATTTAACTAACAAATATTTCTGAACATTCCTGTTTTGCTGGACACCCCTTTTTGTATGTTTTAATTAGTGTATTTAAGTATGCTGAAAACGATGGTGACTATGTTATTGTTCGTTAGAATTTAAAGTATTTTAGTGAACACTGCATGGTTATTCCATTTGACAAATGAAATCTAAAATATCTCTAGACCACTTTAAACAAACTAAAACCACTTTAATGGGTCTCAGAATTCAAATACCTGTAATTTCAAAATTAAGTCTTAYTACCAACATCTGACTTTTTCATCGTTTTTAAAATCCTTAATTACAACAAATATTCAAAATATTTAAAATAAAAATGTACCAATATCTGTTTAATTTTCTTGCAATGAATAACAACATTTAACACTAATCATGCTAATTTTATAGAAAAATTTAGTAATACCAGGTTTTAGCCAGAACTCTGTGTGAATACATGTTATTAAATATATAAATTAATAAAAAAAGGTAGGAATTGGCATTCGCAAAGATGACTTGGAACTTCTGCTCTATTATAATTCGTGCAGTTAAAAATTAAGTCAATATAAGACAATAAATATGAACAGCTATAGGAAAAGGTTTGTAATATTGCCCATTCAAACTTACGAATTAGACAACGGAAAAGATGCATTAGCATCATAGAATTTTATGCGTCTCCAGTATTTGAATCTATCAGTCTTTAAAACAAATAAAACAAGTTTAGGCATTAATTTTAATTTAAACTCTCATATAATTTAACATCAGTTAAAAACAAAACATTTAAAATGTATTTAACTATCCAATCTTCCTAAATTTTTACATCATCTGAAATTGGTGATATAAATTGCACAAGATTACTAAAACAAGTATTCAAATAACTAGTTCATATCAACTTAAAAACCCAAAGTAATATAATTTATTGAATTAAATATTTTACTTTACATACATATACCTAATTAATTGGTGTATTATCAATTAAAAAAAATATTCAAACCAAACTCACCCTAACACAGCTATGTCTTTTAATTAAGTTAACATTTAATTATAAAAATAATTAATAGTAAAAAAAAATATTGTAATAAGCTCCAACATCTAGAAATTAATTTAAAAATCATACCTTTAAAATCTGGAATGAGCACATTAGAGTTTCGTCTACAGACATCATTGCTCCAGCATTGTCAAACTCTCCACAATAATTTGGTGCAGAAAATAAAGTGACCAATTGACGCTTTGCAAAGAATTCATAACCATCTTCTACAACCTAAGAATAAAATAACAAAATAAATTAACAATATTGATGTAATTGTTAAAATATTTACAAAYCTGGTGAGCCCTACATATGAGATCAAAATCATGTTTATGCAAAAATTTTGTCACAACCTCAGCACCAAATGTAAATGATACACCTCTATCATTTTCTCCCCAGCCCATTGTATCCTTTAAAAAATTATAGTCAAGTATTATAAATATTATAAGTATAAATAATTAAATATTACTTTATCAGGATCAGACCAAAGCAAGTCGCATAAGAGTCCTTGATCAGGGACATCTGTTGGCCTCATAATCCTCCTGATTTGTTCCATTGATTGCAAATCAGGACTAAGACCACCGTGACAACAAAAAATCTTTTCGTCAACAATTGCTGCCACAGGCAAACAATTAAAACAGTCCGTAAATATTTTCCAAAGTTTTATGTTATACCGCCGTTTACCTAAAAATGATATAAATAAATGATTGCATAAAGGGGTTTAAATTGTTTAAAAGAATACTTACATTCATCATAAAACCCATATATTCTGTTTATACTAGCGCATTCGTGATTGCCACGTAATAGGAAGAAATTTTCGGGATATTTTATTTTATATGCCAACAACAGACATATTGTCTCCAGAGACTGTTTGCCACGATCAACATAATCACCCAAGAACAAGTAGTTAGACTCAGGTGGAAAACTGCCATACTCAAATAAACGTAGTAAGTCATAGTATTGACCGTGAATATCCCCTACAAAAGAAAAAAAATTCACTATAGATTAAGAAAATTAAAAGCTATATATATATATATTCATATAGTATAAATATAGTTGCAGGTTAAGTAAACTAATTTTTAATTTTAAACAACTGTATATTTAGTTTATAGTTTTATCTTTTTCAAAGCATCTTCATCAGTGTTTTCAAAAATTGTATCATGAATTTTACAAACATTACTTAATACAATATTATTTAAGTCGTATCTGCATAAATCATAATCAGTGACTACTTTATAATTGATAAGACTTATTACAACATTTTCTACTTTAAGAATTTATACCATTAGTATATTTCCTTTACCTTCCTATACTTTGATTCCATGTACAATCCTAAGAATTTATATGAAATTTTATCATATTTTCCACTAATTCTTATTTTAAAAATAATGTTATACACTCTATAGTGAATATTAGTCAAAAATAAAACCTTTAGAGTAATAACAATAATTCTTTTTAAACTAATAATTCAATACTTATAAAGTTTCTTCGGGATTAAAGCATTGTTATTGATAAATTATGGAAATAATAGATACTCTATCACTTATTTAAATGAATGAGATTTTAAAATAATGTTAGCCTTTGTTAAATACTAAAAATATAACTACATTCCGGGTTACATTCTATACCTTTAAATGATACTTTTTGTTCAAAATATAAGGTATGATATGTATTTATTTCAATTTAATAATAACTATACATTTTGATCAACCGCATTGTTATTGGATGCCCAAAATACGCTTAACACAGACAATTTTCAACATCCCTCAGACTTTTATCAGAAAAAATTTACATTTTCATTAATTAACTTAACCACAAATTGTAAATATCTTAAAAGACTACATTTCTGTTCATACCTATTTGTTACAATTTTAAGCTAATAACTACAAGATATTAAAGCCTTAATCTTCTTCTTCTAATAATAATAATACAGTAGGGTCTCGATAATCCGAACGAGGTTAGGGAAAGGGGTTGTTCGGATTAGCGATTTATCCGGATTACCTATGGCTTAAAAAAACCATAAATTTTATTGTAATTTAAGATATGAAATTTTATTTTTATTTGTATTAATCGTGTAAAAGCTCGTTATTTCAAAAGACAATGAATATATATATAAATATAATATAATTATTAAGAGTATAATTATGAACTTTAATATTTAAAATATCGATTTTTTTTTTTTTTTTTTGTTCATTGATTCCCATTATGGATTGGTATGCCTTGTATAATTGAAAAAATTGTATTACCGGAAAATATTATTTATAAATACATACATATGTGCATATTATGACGATAAGATAATTCTCAAGCCCGTTCGGATTACCGCGTCTTTCGGATTAGCCTGTGTTCRGATTATCGAGACCCAACTGTAATTAACTATTGTGTTGATACACAAAAGTTTAAGAGAAAAGAATGGAGGATGAAAAAACTTATCAATATTCATATAAGAATTAATAGATTCAAAATATTATTCATAACATATAACTAGTTAGCAAGTTCATTGATTAAATTGGAATATTTCAGATTAACAACCACAATACCTACTGTTATTTTAAATTAAATACAGTGAAAACTGTCTAAAGCGGACCCTGAATAAAACGGAAAACTATCAAATACGGAATTTTTCTATGGTCCCCGCACGTACCTATAGTTTTACGTAGACGCTCAACCTCAATAAAACGGAACCTTCAAAACGCGGAAACGGAACGATTTTGTAAGTCCCATGCAAGTAAAAACCTTGCATAAACCGGAAAAATGACACGCGCATGTCAAACCTAAACCAAAAATAAGGTATAAAATATAGATATGCCGATATGCGTATGTACAATGTACATCGTTAAATAGTGATAGATAAAGAAGATAAAATTGTTCATATGTACATTATATGTACATACAATGCATATTATCGCATCTTAAACGATATGAAATGTCTTCTTTGTAACTGTGAAACAGTCGTACGTACACTTTTTATTTTATTTTATCTTCCGTTCATCGTATTAAATATTAAAATGCCAAAATATAAGTGTCTTTCATTAAATGAAAAATATCAACTGATCGATATGAGTACAAAAGGACATTCAGTAAGACAATTAYAAAATATATTTAATTGTGGAAAAACTCAGGTTTACGATACTCTTAAAAATCAAAATAGAATTAAAKAAGAATGGTTAAAAGGTAATTTCATAATTTTATTTATTTTAACAATGTAATAAAGCTTCCAACGGTTGGTTATCTAGTTTTAAAAATAGACATAATATCGCGTGGAATCGAGTTTGTGGTGAGTCGAATGATGTAAATATTGATAGTGGAAATGAGTGGAAATCGAAAATATCTGAATACGTAAAAGATTATGATGCATGTAATATTTACAATTGTGATGAGACTGGACTTTTTTTTCGTGCGATTCCAAATAAAACATTAAAACTTAAAGGGGAGCAATGCAAAGGTGGAAAGTTATCTAAAGAAAGATTAACGGTGTTACTATGTGGTAATATGGTCGGAGATATGGAAAAGCCTCTAGTAATAGGAAAATCAGTTAAACCTAGATGTTTCAAAATTACCCGTAATTTGGTGTGCTAATAAAAAAGCTTGGATGACCGGATCGATAATGGAAAACTGGGTTTGATAAGAGAAAATAGAAAAATAATTTTATTCTTGGATAATGTGTCTTCCCATCCAAAACTTATTTTATCAAATTTAAAACTTGCTTGGTTCCCACCAAATACAACATCTTTAACTCAGCCTATGGACCAAGGTATAATTTATTGTGTTAAAATATATTACCGTCGTTTTCTCATGCAGTCTTTGATTGCAAATATTGATCAAATAAATAGTACTTCAGAAATTTCAAAAAAAATAACAGTTAAAATAATGTAAATGATTTTTTGATAATTGATACAAATTTGGTAATGGAGAGTCAAGAAATACATTCACAAAATGATTGTGAAAGTAATTCATCTGGCGACGAAGAAGAAGTAATGCATGATGAAGTCACAACAATTAATACATACAAAGAAGCATTAATTCAAATAAAAAATCTACATTGGTTTGCTATTGATCAACAAGATGATAATCTTCTTCAATTGGTTTCATCGATCAAACAACATACAGAACAAAAAATAGTAGCAACCGTAACAAAACAAAAAACACTTCATCATTTTTGGAAATGCTAAATGTTTATATGTAATATTTAATTGTCGTCTTATATGTAGTATGTAATATGTAATAAAAAACCTATACATGATTTTAGTTTAAATTTAATGAATTTTAAAGAATTATATTATGTATTTAAAACAATAAATTGAAAACTATTCTTTGGKATGTATTTCTTATTTATTTGAATTGAATAATCCGGAATTTTTCCGTTTTATTGAATAAAGCGGAATTTTTTGTTGGTCCGATGCGATTCCGCTTAAGACAGTTTTCACTGTATTTGAAATAAAAATGAGTTTAAGAACAAACAACACCATAATAACAGAAACTACAACTAGATTATACTTATTCAGTGGCATTGTAAAACATGATATCTAAATTAATATACAATGTGGTCATAAGCAGGCGAAGATTGGCTGGGATGCTACAGCATCCCTTGTCCTTAACTACATTTGACAAGATGTTTGATCCAAAATTTATTTTTAATTTATTATTGCAGAATAACTTATGAATGTTTGATGTAATCTGGTACCTATTGACGTTTTTGAGTATTTTCGATATATTATTAAAACAAAATTAAATATTTAAATAATCTACACATTTTTAATTGTTCCCAAACTTTTTCGTAATTGGCCCTAAAAATTATGAAGCATCCCATGCCCTTTCTTTTTACCAGTTTGCGCATAGCCCACCTAAGATATCTAAACAACACACCACGGAGTACAGTAAACAATGTATTAATTAATAACAAAATTAGTAATGGTAAATGTGCGTAAAAACTACATCCAATCTCAAGTACTCACCACATATTTTCAACGGCGCCTCGAGCTCTAACAGTATGGGTTGCGATAGGAAGATCTCCCTAGACTTGAGGCACAGGCCCCTGATTTCACCTTCAGATAGCTGAACGTTCTTGCCAGGTCTCGCACCGCGCACTGTTCAACAGTTACACAACAATTGTTACAAATGTGATCGTCATCGATCCCAGGGACTGACCGAAATAGGTACCCAGTGACGGACACGGACGGCGGAACCGCGTTCGTGTCACGGCCTACCGGCGGCTTACCTTCCAAAAGTCTCGATATTATGTTGTCGATGTTCAATTTGTCACTGTCTGTCATTGTTTCAGCGTGCGCGGCGTGTGGGTCGTGGTTATTGTCGTGTCGGAGTCCGTGGTCGTGATGATAGTCTTAGCCGCCGCCACAACACGATGCTTGATTATGTGATGATCGGGTGCGATGTCAAGCCGGCGTGCGAGGTGTTTGGGTGCGTGTGTATTGTGGACGGAGTCGCTGCGAGCTGCTCTGATGGCACGCGGATGTGCCTTGCAGGAAGCCGGATAAAATCAATAAAATAAAATATTTATTTGTTTACGTTATCGCGCTACCGACGAAAAGGGAACGCCGTCGTAGTCGTTCCGAGTATCTAAAGTGAAATGACTGAAATGGCGTAGTTCGGACGTTACGTCATCAACCATTTTTTTTCCTCTCTCACCACCCCTCCACCGCACCCGGTAATGTTTATTCTTCCACGACGGGTATCGAATACCGACCGTTTTTCAAATATCTTGCACGATTATCATGGTGGGGAACTGGGGTATGTCATCTGCGGCGGCAACGGCGTCTTGTTCCTACTTCTTTTTAACGAATATTTTGATTTTCTGTTCCAAAGAAAATAATAAGTAAAAGAAAAATCAAAAATAGGTGTATAAACAATATGATATATTGTGTGCCTGTGTGGATTTGTGTATAATTTATTGTAATTATTACTATACATAAATTATAAATAACATAATTATCATTTATCAGTAATTGACAATATTGTATTTTAAAAAAAACCCGATTTTGTGAATGGCGACTATTTTTGTTTAGATTTTACACCTTTGTTTAAGCTTTAAACAATGAAAGCTGCTTTGACCAATACCTAACCATTGTAATTCTTTTCTACTGCAACGCATTACATCCCGACACCCGTTTAACGAGTCCGGAACAGGTTCACAATAATTTACGAGCAATGACCGCGAAAAATTGGTTCCTACAGCTGACGTTTTTCGCATAGCGCCGATCTATAGTACAAAATTAAAAATATATTGTACAATTTGTATAAACAATTCTCAATGAGACAAATGAACGCGCGAATGAACGATGCMAATCAATTATAGTTTATTGAGTTTATTCACTTACCTACGAATGTATTAAACACAAATATTACACTATTGTATAATTTGTATAGCGTAACCAGGGACCGAGGTCGCAACGAGACCGTATGGTAAAATATTAAATATTATTTACAAATTACAATGAAATTGGGAAACTTGTCACTTGTATGAGTCTAGTACTCTAGTGAGTAATCGTCGTAGACTCGTAATGATCGGGATGGAGAATTATGAAATTATGAATGAAAGATCGAAAACCAGTAAACCATAGAACTATCTATAAACTTTGTTGCTATTTATTATAATATTGTTCTATGGTTGTGGGAATTATCGAAAACTATATAAGCCGTAGTGCATAAAATGTAAATATAATTAATAAGTCTAGATATTCATGACCCAGTCGAAAACATATTCATACGTTGTGATTTAAAAACAAAACGTTATCTYGAGCTTAATTTTGTTTGGTTTGTCTGTAATTATAATAAATTGTCTATAATTGTTTAATTCTAGAAGTTAATTTATAAGGGTACATTGCATGAGGCGCAGCAAAAATAATATTATTTGGCAATAAATTCTGATGACGTATTAGAAGATATTTTTATAAAACAAGCAGCAAGCACGTACAAATAATATTGTAACTGTAATACGACTATTGCAATGTTATTACTTATTCATTGTAAATTGTAATGTAATATATTTATTATTTATATTGTCTTTTGTCGCAAGTAGCAATCTCGCAATCATTACGATGAGTGACGGGCCACGGGTGGGCATAGTGACAAATATAATAATTATTCACATTACGCAGTTATTGTTTTTGCGAGAAAAAAATTATCGCACGAAAACTGTTTTTTTTGAAATGATTCAGCAATATTTTAGCTTTTAGAGAAGCAATGTAATTATAAACTGTCGGCAGATTTTCTATAATAGTTAATATTACACAAATGCAATTATCCAATAAACCTCTACCCCATAAGTTTCCAAATTTTGGTTACATCTTGTATCCCCTAATTACGTCAATATTCCAATGAACTCTACTTTCTTTTTCATTTTTCTGTTACACAACATTAAAGACTGTAGAAAACTATTGCTATACATCTACTATCTAGAATGCTTGGTATTTAATAATAGGGAATACATTGGAATTGTTGAAATACAATTTTCGCGAACTCGAACTAGTAAAAACATCTAACAATAAACAAATTTTAAAATATAGTAAAAAGTGTATTTTCATTTACCAGAAAATTTTTTTTTTAAATCTGATTTTATACAAGGAACATTTTAAACTTTATAGTTTATTATGCTTTGTCTAACATAGTTCTGACAATATGTTTATTGTTTAGGTGTTTGGATTTTCAAAGTTCAATCTTTAAGGTATTCTAAGATCAAAAACCCATTGCTATATTTAAAATCAACTAATCTTGTTCAAAAGTCAAAACACAATATTATGAACTATTAATCGACGTATTGATAACTATTTTCATATTGTCATTGTAATATACCTATTATTTAAAAAGAACTAATATGATTTTGGTATTCTATTATAATAACTAAGTATTATAATTTACTTATTATTATAATATTATCATGAAAATTCATTCAATTTAATTGTATAAAATAATCATTTCTGAGCAATGAGCATCGAGCTATAATATTATAAATCAAAATATTATGATCTATTGGAGAACAAATAATATTAATAATAATTTAGCCTTGACTCTAGAGTATATTATTTGATTAAATTCAACTACACACTTCCTTGTTTATTTAAAAACATTTCAAATATAAACATACCTTCAAAATATAAAATTATGTTTAAAAAAATAAAAAAATATGATCTATTGGATATCATGATCTAATTAATTCTTGATATTATAAAACTATATATAACAAAATAAGCATAATAAAAAAAAAAAATTGTCAACAATAATTAACATTGTTTTATTTATAGTCACATCATTAAACACAATTACATTCTTACAAGTCTTCTCCAAATTCTAAATCAAATTGTTCTTTAGATATCTGAAACAAACATTCAAGTAGGTACTTTATAAGTAATTCAAAAATTATCGTTAAGATTTATTAAGAGATCAATATAGATCTATCAACGCTATTTTAGTATTCTACAAATGCATAATATACCAACATTTATGTTCTGTAGTTCCGATGAGCATTAATTATATTAATATTCAATATGCTTGTTTAAAAATTAAATTGTAAAACACCAACAAGAGAAAGCAAAATAAATAATGTTTTCATATTTAAATTTGTTAATAGGTTTATTTTAATATTTGAGATGACAACTCAAGTTGGAATTAAATACCAAGATATAATATCTTAATCCGTGGCTGGAACGCCTGGAACTCAACTGCTGAATATAAATTTTGGTATATCATAAGTAGGGTTCGGATTTGAAGGCAAATTCCTTTGTTTTATTTATCATAATATAAAAATAATTTTTATACAAAAATGTGTTTCATTTAATTTCTTAGACGATGGATGCATTTTTTTTTTGACTTTTTACTTATAAATGCCTTTTTTTACCTTTAGTACTTATAAATGCCTATTTTGTGTTTAATTTTTGTAGTATATTTATGAATTGCCTTTTTATATAAATTAAATGCCTTTTTTTACATTTTAAATCCTTTTTTTATTGATTATATTGCCTTCAAATCCGAACCCTGATCATAAGTTACTAACATAAATGGAGACAACACATACAGGTACAATACTACAATGTCATGAACCAATTATTATAATTTACAATATTGCTAATTTCATTAAAGTAAAAATAGTTAAATGTAAAAAAGGTTCAAATAGGTAAGGAAATGTTACATAACTGACCCGGGTCCTTCTCTATTACATTTACTAGATATCATATAAGTATTAAGTACCATATTTCTATCCCATGTTGTCACTGTTGAACGTTGTAAAGCATCACTGACATTCTCGTAGAGGACAATTAATGATTTTAGTATATATTATTTTATTATATTTTTAGTATATATTATTATTATTTTAGTATATATTATATATATTTTATAATTTTAGTGTTATATTTATAATTACTATTATGGAACACTGTACAGTTATTTTGGAATTAATGAATTATATTTATATTTTATAAGCTAAAAAAAAAAAATAATAACCAGTTTGAAGTAGTGTCAATGGACGCTCCCTTCAGTCAAGCCTCCTAACCTTGTAAATAAAAAAAATCTCACATTTACTTATTGTTTTATTTTTATTACAGATTGTAAATTTATATTATATTAAATAAAAAAAATAAATAAAAATAAAAAATAACCGGAGCAAACTCGAATCATTGAATTTGAAACCAATGAAAATAATAGCACACTAAATCAGATATTAACGAACCAGCAGAAACTTGAACAGACCATTCAGCTACTAAGTGAACAAGCTAAGAAAAACGCAAAGGACATTGATCAAATAAAGATCAGAACAGCGCTATTAGAACAGACTCTCTTTTTCGAAGTCCTACTGAACCAATACGCATATGAGACACAAAATCTTTTGGCAATAATTGATTCTAGGCCAGGCAATAGAGA